CTTGTCGAAAATCCAATTGCTTGATCTCTCACAGAACTCACTTTCCGGATCGATCCCCCCTTCATTTGGGAATTTGAATATGTTAAGTCATTTTAATCTTTCCTACAATAATCTCTCTGGTATCATTCCAAATGATCAGACCATCCAGTCGTTTGGTGCATCAGCATTTTCAAATAATCCTGGGCTCTGTGGTTACCCTTTGGCTTCCTGTTCCCGCAATGCCACGCCTTCCACATCCGGTAGAACTGAGGTCCTTAGTGTTTCCGCAATTGTTGCCATTGTTGCTGCTGCTGTGATTCTTACAGGGGTTTGTGTGGTAACCATCATGAACATCAGGGCACTCAAGAGTAAAAGGCAGGAAGTGGCGATGGTTGTTGAGAGCACACCGCCAGGTTCATCAGATTCGAATGTTATAATTGGGAAGTTAGTTCTCTTTAGCAAAAGTTTGCCTTCTAAATATGAAGATTGGGAAGCTGGCACCAAAGCTTTGCTCGACAAAGAGTGGCTAATAGGTGGAGGGTCGATCGGAACAGTCTACAAAACTAGCTTTGAAGGAGGGATCTCAATTGCAGTAAAGAAGCTTGAGACTCTAGGGAGACTTAGAAACCAAGACGAATTTGAACAAGAAATCGGACGCCTAGGTAACCTCCAACATCTGAACTTGGTTGCTTTTCAAGGTTACTACTGGTCCTCTTCAATGCAGTTGATTTTATCTGAATTCATTCTGAACGGGAATCTCTACGATAATCTTCACAGAATGAATTATCCCGGAACTAGTTCAGCTGTTGGAATACCGAACTAAATTGGTCTAGAAGGTTTCATATTGCCCTTGGAACTGCAAGAGCACTTTCTTATCTTCACCATGATTGTAGACCTCCAATTCTCCATCTCAACATCAAGTCAACTAACATACTCTTAGACGAGAACTACGAGGCCAAACTATCTGATTATGGATTGGGAAAATTGCTTCCGATTTTGGATAATTATGGTTTAACTAAATTTCACAATGCAGTAGGATACGTCGCACCAGAGTTGGCTCAAAGTTTGAGAGTTAGCGAGAAATGTGATGTGTATAGCTTTGGAGTGATTCTTTTAGAAGTAGTAACTGGGAGGAAACCAGTAGAGAGTCCAACAGAAAACGAGGTAGTGATCTTGTGTGAATATGTTAGAGGATTGTTGGAGAGGGCTCTGCTTCAGCTTGCTTCGATAGAAGGCTGTGCAGCACAGAAAACGAATTAATACAGGTTATGAAGTTGGGGTTGATCTGTACATCAGAGGTTCCTTCAAGAAGACCTAGCATGGCTGAAGTTGTTCAAGTTCTCGAGTCCATCCGATCTGTAATCGAACCATAGTTAAAGTTCAAAGAAATGTTAGATGTCATTAATACCGCAAAGAGGACACAGATAAGGTTGATCTGTACATCAGAGGTTCCTTCAAGAAGACCTAGCATGGCTGAAGTTGTTCAAGTTCTCGAGTCCGTTCGATCTGGAATCGAACCATAGATAAAGTTCAAAGAAATGTTAGATGTCATTAATACCGCAAAGAGGACACAGATAAAGTTGCTGCTAGTTAAGGTAAAAAATAATAGACCCCCAAAAAGTTAATTCTTCTGTATTCATTTAGCTATCGCCACCATTGATTCGTTCCTCTATTCTTAATCTTGTGCATAAAAGAAAAACAATGTATCCATTTATGTGTAAGCATCTGTTCAATTCTTTGGACTCTGAAAGCAAGTTCTAAAAGTTAACATCAATGGCAGCATCAGTAACATAAACACATTTCTTCCCCCAAGATGAGTATCAAGATCTTGATGGGGTTAACTGGTCCTTCGGCTTCAAGTCAAGGATTACCATTTTCAAACATAGTGGCAAAGAATGAGTTTTCAATCAAAAACAAATCTGCACATTGTTTGAAATCATAGAGTAAAATAACAGCATTTCATCTATTCAATTTACAGGTTTCAGAAACTTCCTCATCCGATCCATGACTACAGGGATATCTTTCTCTGTCAATGTAGTAAAACAGAAGCGGAACCATCCAGGTTCAGTACAATGACAAGAAGAACCTGGAGTTACATTGATCTTACCTATATTCAACAACTTATCCCACAGCTCAAGTTCACCTTTCTCGCTGTAAGAGCGGATTAACCCGCTCATATCAGCCCAACAGTAGAAACCACCGCTACTATTTATGCACTTGATGCCGAGTTCTTTTAACCCAGCCACAAACTGAGCATACATTGTTTGAAGCCCCTCTCTGTTGATGGTAATCAACGTTTTGAACAAAATTTGCATTAAATAGAGATGAGCAAACACTGAGTTGGGGCCGAAATAGATGAGAACCTCATCAACTTTTAGCAGCAGCCACAACCTCCTTATTATATGAGTAGATAACACCAACCCGAAAACCTGGAAGAGAAAGGTCTTTTGACAAACCATACACTATATGAACTCTATTCCGACCGAGTTCATCCAGGTCAAGTAGTTCTGCCATGCTCACAAATTCGTCATTTCCGCGAGTGGAACCAGCCAATAGTTCATTAGGGACTATGGATGTTTTTCTCTCTCGCAAAATCTAGCAGGCTGTAAAGTGTTTCTCGACTTAGAAGGTTGCCAACAGGGTTTGATGGGTTTGATATTACTATCCCGCGTACTTTAAGTCCGCGTTTCTTTGCCTGGCCAAATGCTCGATCAAGAGCAGCTATACTTAAATTGAAATTATCAGCACTTCGGCAAGGAACATGTATTATTTCCACCCCAGTTCGCCATTTTATATCCCTATCAAAACTGCAGATTTTGTTCGAAACATTATTTTCCTTGTAAGATAGCTGCATACCAGAATGAAAACCGTCAAAACGGAGAGAAATATTACCCGGGGTAACAAGGAGTTGGTACAAGAAATGCATTTCCAGCATGTGCTAAGCAGAAACTAAGGATCTCGATTGCAGGGGTCGCACCAGCTGTCAGCACTACCTGTAAAGGGTTGAATGAAACAGCTATCTCCATGACTTGAGACATGAATCCTGCTACAGCCTGCAAAGTAATGACTTGTCACGAATTGTAAATAAATTTTTCCCTTCTCTTTTGTATTTTTTTTTCTTTCTCCAAATGCATTTTTTTTCTTTCTCCAAATGCAAAGAGGCCACTTTATGATCAAGAGCATACATTTATTCAATTAGTGAGAAAGCACTTATCTTAAGAGGTGAATTGAACTGGAAATTACAAGGCCTCATTGTATGTTACATGCTTTAACGATGGTTCTTGCATATACAAACAATACATATATCACTGACTAAGAATCAAGAGCTGAAGAAGTCAGAATTATTGTTTTTCATCCCTCTTCTATTGCACATTCAACACTTAACCAGAAGTTCTCTTGGAGCTCATTAAGAAACAAACTTGGCCCATACTCAGACCTCCGATAGTAGAATTCATAGGTTTGGTGTTTGTGACCTCACTCTCACATGATTCGTTGTATTACAAGCATTATACTCAACTAAAATTACGGAACCACCATTATTAACAGATATCATGAACCGTTAACCATAGTCACGAGCAAGCAGTCCCTATAGCTCTAAGTAACTGTATTATCACTCAACCAATCTGAATCTGCAAAAATCCTAACATGACATCTTAAAGTCATCTAAAAGGCCAAAGTGAAGTGTGGTAATCATGTGAACCATTTGACGTTTAAATACAAGTTTTTTTTATTATTAATCTGAGATAAGTACAAGACAATATCTATTCAAAGATAAACTTTTAACCTTTTGACATTGAACGCTAATACTCCTGACATCTATAATGTTCGAACTCAAGTCTTCAAGAAATAACAACAATTCTTTTATCACAGACGTCAGAGTCCACATGGTTTGTGCTTAAATACAAGTTCATACAATAAAAAGTAAAAATCAAACATTAAAGGAGAACCAACTCAATAAACTGATAGTCTGATTGTCAATAGAATGATAGCATTAAACTTAAGTACAAAAGCAAACAGATAAATTTGAACAGTGTTTACCACTTTGAACTCCATCAATCCATCAAAAGGCTGATAAGTGGCAATCCTGCTAATGCTCAGCTCTTTTCCGTTTCTCAATATAGATTGCTCCGCATTCTCTGCTAGCCAATGCTTAATCAAATCCAATGACAACTGAAACAAAGAAAAGCAAATACAAGTGTACCTTGTCAGTGGTTCTAAACCGATATCACCTTGTAATCCCTTAAGAAAATATATATATATATATAAAAGTAAAAAAAACCTACCTTGTTTTCTGCTAAACCCAGCTGAATGACCCCATTTGGATTTCTGAGTTCATCATACGAATCCTCCTTAGCCCTCATCATTCCCAAAAAATACGGAGAATCCGCACCCTTCACGATCCCATTAACCCGACCCGAAACAGAGACGGGCCCAGTCTGACTCCGCGGAGATGACAAACCCCAAGAGTAATTACGTGTCAACCCAGGAAGCTCCGATAACTTCCCGAACGACGGGGAACGGGAGGTTGGGTTTTGAGGCGAGGAATTCGAATTGTTCTGGTCATCCGCGTCTTTACGGTGCCGCTTCAAATAGAACTGGAGGAAGTAAAAGAGCGCGCAAGGGATTATGGAGCCTAAAACTAGGCCTCCTCGTCCTTGAACAACACCTTGCAGAGGAACTATCACTCTCATGGCTGTTTCCTTCTGGGTTTCCGGGCTCCGAGTCCGGGATTAAAGGGTTTGTGTGTCATAGTAGTGAAGTCATGGCCACATAAGGAGAAGAGAAGAATCGAAAATATCGGTATTACGATGAATCATGAATGGATGGATGGATAAAATAACAGCTTTGTGAGGGTTTTTAGGGAATTATGGGATGCACAGCCGGTCCTCGTCCTCGCCATAAGTGGGGGATTTAGCAGTTGCGATTTTTAGGAGGGAAAAGCTGTGAGTTTACTGAAAGGCGAATTTTACCAAATTATCTACCCACCATCGCTTGCAAATACATCAAACGTATTGTGTTTGATCATAGTTGTAGGATGAAGACCAGCGAATCTAAAAATATTTTTTCAGAAATAATTTTTTTTTATGGTTATGGATGAACTTAATAAAAAAAACCTACCTTGTTTTCTGCTAAACCCAGCTGAATGACCCCATTTGGATTTCTGAGTTCATCATACGAATCCTCCTTAGCCCTCATCATTCCCAAAAAATACGGAGAATCCGCACCCTTCACGATCCCATTAACCCGACCCGAAACAGAGACGGGCCCAGTCTGACTCCGCGGAGATGACAAACCCCAAGAGTAATTACGTGTCAACCCAGGAAGCTCCGATAACTTCCCGAACGACGGGGAACGGGAGGGGTTTTGAGGCGAGGAATTCGAATTGTTCTGGTCATCCGCGTCTTTACGGTGCCGCTTCAAATAGAACTGGAGGAAGTAAAAGAGCGCGCAAGGGATTATGGAGCCTAAAACTAGGCCTCCTCGTCCTTGAACAACACCTTGCAGAGGAACTATCACTCTCATGGCTGTTTCCTTCTGGGTTTCGGGGCTCCGAGTCCGGGATTAAAGGGTTTGTGTGTCATAGTAGTGAAGTCATGGCCACATAAGGAGAAGAGAAGAATCGAAAATATCGGTATTACGATGAATCATGAATGGATGGATGGATAAAATAACAGCTTTGTGAGGGTTTTTAGGGAATTATGGGATGCACAGCCGGTCCTCGTCCTCGCCATAAGTGGGGGATTTAGCAGTTGTGATTTTTAGGAGGGAAAAGCTGTGAGTTTACTGAAATGGCGAATTTTACCAAATTATCTACCACCATCGCTTGCAAATACATCAAACGTATTGTGTTTGATCATAGTTGTAGGATGAAGACCAGCGAATCTAAAAATATTTTTTCAGAAATAATTTTTTTTTATGGTTATGGATGAACTTAAATAAAATTTTAAAATGAACATAATTATTGAAATGAATAATTCCTTAATAAAATCAAATTTCAGAAACAACATTTGTCCACCATCACTGATACGTGCATTCTTCACTAGTCTCCTTTATTTTATCCAATGATGAACAGTGGAATCATTTGTTCATGATAGCTTAGATTAGAGGAGAAAACTTCCTATCCGTTGGATGAAGTTCAGAGATTAGATTTTTGTGGATCCTCTTCCCCAACCACAATATCGACCAACTCTTCTATGAAAATATATTGCCTAGTCATGTTCCAACCCTTTTGGCGAGGACCATCGTCCACTTCTTTTATCTGAGCCACAGGTTTGAGATTTCATCAGCTATTAGAGGTTTCCGTAAATCTTAGGGAACGTTTTATACACGGAATGTAATATTACTTTATTAGAATATAATATCATTTTAGGAATATTGTAATAGGTATCCAATTTATTATTATTATTATTTAGTGATTTAGGGTCAGTCACTCGCTTAAAATGAGCCTTATTAACGAGTTCTCAAGATACACAAAACTCTCGTATCAGACATATTGGCAATCAATTACCTTGAATCATTAGTAATATATAATACTCTGAATTTTTTATATATATATATGATCAATATAATACGGTATTTGTTTAAATATTTTTAATCATTTTATAATGAACCTTTATGTTTATGTATATGTAGTACTCGAACTTCAAATCTTAAAAGATAATAAATATCTTAAGGTTTAATACCAAAATAAGTGTCCAAACTATACCCAAAATCTCGAAAGGTGCCTAAACTATTTTTTAACTCATCCCATTGTGTAACATTTTCTCTGTTATCATTTTAGGTGCCTAACGTTTTCTTCATTACCATTTTAGGTGTCTTCATGTTGACCGCCGTTAAAAATCCCGTTAATGACATGTGTTACGTTACGATAATATTGAGAATTTTCATTTAAACTAAAAAATATAATTTTAGGGGGGGGGGGAATTCCAATCTTAAAAAGAATCTCAACTTTTAAAACTTTAATTTTAACCTCTTTACCACCGTCGACAGTCACTAACACCATCAATCGACTGAACACCCAACTACGTGTGACTGGCCAATCAATCACAATCAAAACCTCATACTTTTGTAACCGATTAAACACCCAAAAATGGTATAAATGAAATATTTCATTTTAGGGTTTGTAGCTTTTTTTTATTGAGATTTTGATAAATTGAACGCTTATTGTGGAAATTGTTGGAGGTAGCATTAAGGGATTTTGGTTACACTCATATCTTAGTAACTAAAATTTAATAAAATAATAACATAAAAGACTAAAATTTAACTTTTTAAAATTTAATAAATAAAAGTATATAAATGTTAAAGATAAATGATCATTTCGATAGTTTACCTTTATTTTATTTTTAAGCCCACGGCCCACTTCTATCGGACAATGTTTGGATAGTCACTAGGAGGTGGAATTACAGCTTTGGATGGATTCAAAGTCTTTCTAAACGTTTATGCTTTGGATTTTTTTTTTTTTGTTAAGAACATAAATCATTTGTATATATAAGAGGAAGAAGAAGAAGGGTTATCTTCCTCATGAGGTGTTAAAACGAAGATTTTGTTATTTGATTAGTTTGAAGTGAATATAAGATAATATCTGTTCAAAGACTCAACCATTTAACATTGAACGTTTATTCAGTACATATGTGGTGTTCGAATCCAAGACGTCAAGAGGTAACAAATATTCCTTAATCAGTAAAATCTTTTAATTCATACAGATTTAATTATAAAATATATTGAATTTTTAAATAAGGAACTATTTTACTTAAAGAAGCAACCCCCGCTTCACATATCATGGATGGTCATTCCCCTTTGAACACGCAGCATCCTTCATTTAGCACATGGAGCTACATCAATCCCACCTTTAGTAGGATAATCATCCGTCCAATTGCATCCTATTTTACGTGTAAAAGATTTCCTATAACTTGTTAGAAATGCTAAGGAATATACAAAGTCAATTCGCACAGACTAAGTTGAGTGCTTCCAATGGTTTATAACACACATGCCAAAGGAATCCATTTGGCATTGTTGTCGTTGAAAATAATAAAAATGAAAAGTAGACGAATATCAAAACAAGTTACCAAATGATTTTAATCCATTTACCCACATATTTAGGTTAAAAAAAATGATATAGAAAGTTTGGCATATCATTAAAAAAGAGCAACACCACCAAAATGAACTGCAACTCCAAACATAAACTATTGTCACACTTCCAAGCTTAGAAGACACAATGGAGCCCATCATCATCACCGCTCACTCCCCCTTTTCACCAAGAAATCCAACTAACCTACAAACACCATCAATGTCTCGCATCTCAACACATTGCAACCAAATCAAAACTCATTCTTAAAACCCCCTTTTGTTCCTAAAATCCATGAAATTGCAGCGGTGATTCAGATTTCGGATTGCTTCCCCGAAGAACACTCTTTGGAGAGAAACCAATGAGGCCGGAAGAAGAGAGATTGCTGCCATTATTACTGCTGCTGCTGCTATCGAGTTGCAGAGAAATGGAGAGGCTGGTGTCGGCATTTCCATGGCTAATACTTCTTCTGGTGGTAGCTTGAGAAGTTTCCACTAGCTTTCTTGAACTCTGACGGCCTCTGTGCATGTGTCTCTCGCAGTATTTGTGATACGTGACAGCTTCTTTGCTGCACCTCCATTTCTTCCCATCTGTACGTCTACATCTTCCTGGCTCTGGATCCATTCCATTCGTGTACTCCAAGTGCAATGACCCACAACCCAAAACTGGACCATCATCCAACCAAGTTATTATCCAGTAAAAAATACTATAACGAGATGGGTTTTGGGTACTTACGTCCGGAGTAGAGTTGATAGGGGCTGCCATGGTGGCCGCCGGTAACACTTTTCCAAATAGGGAGAAGAAGATGATTAGGGACAGGGAGACCGGCTTCCATGTACTTGTAGATGAAGATTGAAGCTGTAGTTCTTGCAGCTGAAAAAATGTAAATCCATATGATTTTGTGAACCCGGTGGTCTATGGCTAGACCCACGTCCAAGCTCCAGACCTAGCTCGACTGGTGGCGAACCATCTCCTCCCCCATCACTCAACATCTACCACTCTCCATGTTCCAGGAATCACCCAAATTTGTAAGTCCAATTCCTGCAACAAAAAACAGAAAGAAAGTTAACAACGAATGATAATCAAAGTGTTTTTTGAGAAAAGAAAGGGGGTAAAAAGGTACCAAAGTCTGCGAAAAGGGCAATCTTGAGAGGTGTGATTTGAGGTTGAGGTTCCATTTCTTGATAAATCAGATAAGAAGAAATAAAGGGTCAATCTCAAAAAGCACAGTATGGACTGCAGCACACACAGAATTAACAGTAGTAAAGGGTAAAGAGAAAGAATAGATTTAGTTCATGGCAGAGAAAGAGAGAGTAACTGGGAATGGGTGATTGATTTTTTCAATTTAAACAAAAAGGAAAATGAGAAATGAAAATTCTGTGTTTATAAAACTGACAAATGCAGCAAATGACAGCAAGCAAAGCACGGCCCAGCTGTCTTTCTATGAATTCCTTGTCCGTATCTAAAACACAAAGACAGAGGAAGATTGAAGTACAGAATTAAAATGTTCTGACATGTTAGACAACTCTCAGGGTGTTTGCATGCACAGCGCGTATATCAGGTCTTTGAATCGTGACAATTAGAAAACCTGGGACCCCCAGAATATGACGAAGACCCGTCTTTTTTTTTTTTTTGTTAAATTACAGACACCGTTTATTTTTAATTTTACCTTTCTAACACCGTTTGATCAATATTTCCAAAACTAACACCCTTTCTGCTGAGTTGGCAAAGGCGCGTCCCGGGGACGCGCTTTACCCGTGTTTTCGCTGAGTGGATGCCACGTGTGAAAGGCGCGTCCCCGGGGACGCGCCTTTGCCATATCAGCAGACACGTGTGGAAAGCGCATCCCCGGGGACGCGCCTTCCATTAAATGTCATAAATGCCCCCATCCGTTTTCCTAACTACCCCTCCTCCTCCCCTATATAAACCCCCTCAACCCTCCCTCATTCTTCACACCAAAATCATCTTCTCCTCTCTTATATAACTCAAATTCTCCAACTATTTGAGTTTTAAATTTGTTATTAGTGGTAAGAAATTTATTTTTATGTTAGTATTTTTTTAAATAGTTATATTTTTTATATTAATATATTATGTAAATATTATTTTTTTATTAAAATAATATTTATATAATTATTATTTATTTAGAATTATTAATTTTTTGCTAATTATATTGTTTGTCTACAGTTATAATGGAAAACGAAATGCTGTTGCGATTGGATATTGATCATATCTCCAGACATTTTAGCGATATGGTAATATTTTTTATAATTAATGTTAATATTTAAATTTATTTTTATTTTAAAGTTATTATGAATTTATATTAATTTTTATTTTTTATAATATATATTATTTAGGATGCTGATCGTATTTTAGAAACTTTTATTAAAATCCACGTATACCGACACCGGAACGTATTTTGCCATATTGGCTTTGCTGGGTTCGGGTATATTGCAACAATTATAGGCGGTTGCAAACTCGAACCTGTCCTAATTTCTGCACTGATTGAGAGGTGGAGGCCCGAGATACACACTTTTCACCTTCCATGTGGAGAGGCAACAATTACATTGGAGGATGTCTCTATGCATCTGGGGCTTCCCGTCGACGGAAATATGACATGTGGTATGGCGGATGGTGATTGGCAATCAATGTGCATTGATTATCTTGGAGCTGCTCCGCCAGAGTTTAATGGAGGTAGAATAGCTTTATCTTGGTTGAAAGCTAATTTTGAGGTTTTAAATGAAAATGCTTCAGAGGATCAAGCAAAGGCATGTGCTCGGGCATATATTCTACGAATAATTGGAGGAATATTGATGCCCGACAAATCTCGCAACCA